AGTAATCTCCTGAAGATAATTCCGCTGTGATCCAATTAACGGCAGCATTGCCCTCCTATTTTAACAGTAGTAATCAGCTCGCACTAATGCTGCAGGTATCAGAAGCGGCCACACGCTCAGATCTCAGCGTCCAGCACTGGAACAGTCACACTATGCCACTAGAACAGCATTTCTTCCTCCGTCATCCTTTAATCAGCTCCATTTAAATCACTTGTGAAGACCACATCACTCCTTGACACCCTTGAATTGCATTTCATCTTGTGAGTTTTGCCCTCTGTTTGTCTGTGTGTCTGCCCAATCAAGCGCTGAGACAGGCAGCAGTCGTTAAACCGAGATCCCGTCCCTTCCGCTCATGACGGTGGCCCATTATTGTTACTATGAGAACAGTCTCAACTTTGCTGTCTGTGCTAATTTCCTCCCTCTGCACCACATCGCCAACACGTGAGCGCATGGGTTGTTAAACTGGTAACTTCTGTTGCACTTCATCGAAAAGCAAATAAGTTGAAGATGAGAAGGGAGGTGCTGCAGCTGGTGGGATCTAGTGAAATGAAAGGTCAAGGTGGCTGTCTGATGGAGGATTTTCTGAATTGGGAGAGTGGTGTCTGTCCTGTGATTTAAAGATAATCCTCTGAACAGTAACTAATCTGTGGCCCACTTGTTAGGTTGTTATTATCATCTCTCATTCATTGCGTTTACCTCCACGAGTCACGAATGAAAGCTAAACTGTTTGGGTGAATCTCACAGAAGCGGGTTTGCATCATATTTTAACCTATATCAAAAGGGGGTGAAGTTAAATTGTTTTACATAAAAAAATAAAGCCTTTTTATTGTGTCATTATTAGGGATGCATGATATTAGATTTTTGCCGATATGCTGATATTTTTCAACTAATTTTGGCCAATAGCCAATGCTGATACCATATATATTTCATTTTGTTTGGAAACAACACCAAGTCTCTCCTTTGCAGAAATTATAAAGAAATTATTTTTAATTTTGGTTAGTTTTGAGTCAAAACTTTTTTGTTAGAACTAATAAACATTATTAAATAATTTTTTTTTTATTAGAATACATTGAAAACTTTGAAAATAACTATAATAAAATCAATCTCTGCTTTTTTTTCTCTTATTTTTGTTTCCCAGACAGATGCAGTTTAAACCTTAAATTTTATTTGTGAATTTAACATTAATAGATGGTCTAAAGCAAAAGAGCAGTAAAAATTAAAAAAATATTTTAGAGCTCCTTGTATTTAGGTTTTCATAATCCATTTGAAAAAATGTATACATATTAATAAATAAATCTGTATATATTAAATTATTTAATTTACAAGTGTCATGTCATTTTTATTAATGTAACCTATAGTCTCTGACCTTTAAATCAAAACACTCGTCATTTTATGACATCAATTACTGCTTTACTTATTCAGAAACACAAGTATCTTAATGTTATTTGTGTATTTTACTTTCATTTTATTACAAGTAGGCCAACAGCACCCCCTAAATAAATAAAACGCCTTACCGAACTGGCATTAGGACCCGGGGGAAGCTGCCGCTGCTGTTGCTGCTGCTACACGCGCTAGAGACTGTTAACACTGTGGCACACCAGAGGCATCATTCTATACTTGCGTTCTCAAATTAAATGCAAGGATCCAAAATCAATCTAATCATCATTTAGGCAAAAGTTTGCTTCAAGAATGACCACACTGTTGATGTGATCTTATCGCTAACACACCCCGAATGATTCGTCTTATCAGCAAGGCATATCAGCATCATTTTTTTTTTTTTTCAAATCGGCCGATGTTTACATTTTAAGCCTTTATCAGCCATTTCCAGTAACCTTCCAATAATATTGTGTATATATGGGCCCATAAAAAAAACGAATATTCGAATATTTGTTTATTTAAATGACGTTTAACAAGAAAGTAGTTATTTTTTATTAATCAAGTTTTCGCCACCATTTCTGAACAAGCTTATGATTAGGCATTATACTCAACAATGTTCTACAACGTTGCGTTGTATCTCCAGGTTTTCTTTGTTGAAAACGTGTGTAAACAAAAATGTATATACAAATCCAATTCCAAAAAAGTTGGGACACTGTACAAATTGTGAGTAAAAAAGTATGTCATCTATGTTGTATTCTGAATAAAATATTGAAATTTGAAACTTCCACATCATTGCATTCTGTTTTTATTCACAATTTGTACAGTGTCCCAACTTTTTTGGAATCGGGTTTGTACATAAAGAACAAAAGCATTCGAGCTCAAGCATAGCAAATGGAAAAATAAAGCAGACAGTGCCAATTACAGTACAGTACATACACTGTACTACATACACTACAACATGGGATTAATCAATGCATGCTTTATCATAGTTTATAGATACGAAAGTGGTTAACATTCAAGCCGTTCTTTTTCATCAGTATTATTTGTGATTTGAATTTTGTGAACGGGAGTTCCTCTTTTGCTGTGTTATAAGCCAGGCTTTGGGTGCTTTCACTTTCGAATTCACAATCTTATGAAGTTTTACAAGAAAAGATAATTGTCTGATTTGCTTACATCTACACACCTTTCACTTTTTAAGACTAAAACAAAAGATGGATTCATTGTTATTTGCGCCCCCCCCCCCCTCACTCTCTCTCTCTCTCACTCTCTCTCTCTCTCTCACACATGCTCGCGCACACACACACACAATGCGCAAAACTCCACATTTAAATAGTCAATAGCAAATACTTAAACTAATAACAAAACAGTAGCTGATTCAGAAGCGCCAGATTGTCATAGCAAAGTCAGAATTACCTCCTCTCCTAGGTTCACGACACGGTCGTCCATAAAATGCATTGCTGTTCTGTTGTAAGTAATTTTAAAGATTCCTAAATGCATCTACTTCCGGAAGGCAAAATAAAGTGATTTTGCTTTCGCACTGAAACACACAGCGTCTCCCTGACATGGCTGCATCAACACTGACTGCTGTTACTGAAACCACGCCGCCTTTCTTTTGCGTGCACATTTGGGCGGCATTATGCAAATATCTCCACATAGTGAGGTAGATATGTGGGGGCGTGTTAGAAGGAGCCGTTTTAGGGGGGGTGTGGCAGAGTCTTAACTTTGATAAAAAAGGTTTTGAGACTTTAGTCTTTGCAACTTCAGGGATCTTATCTATGCACAATCAGCTTGTAACACTCCCAAAGAGAAAGGAAAACTTGAAATCGCATCATATGACCCCTTTAAGTAAAAAGTACAACAACAATAAAACAGTTAGGTACAATGACAAACTAGCTTACAAAACGTTTATTAACAAAAACGAATAAGATGAGGCATGGCATAGGCTACACCACATGCTGTATTATATACCGACTAATAAATTACAGAACGTTTAGCAAACACTAAGGAATCAAATAAAAAAGTAAAATAAAAGAGAGCCTCCATAGCTTAACGTGAGGTAAACAGCAAATATAACAAGCTTTTTAAAACGAAAACAAAAAGAAAAGTAAAACTAAACATCCTGTCAGTGATGATGCTTGCATGTTTTTTCCCCACACGAATATCAACATGTTTACCTTCTCTGGTTTAAGAAGCAGTCGTTTACTTTACTTTAGCTTGAAAACCATCCATCGTTTCCTCAATATTCGCGTAATTGTTGCTGCGCGTAGCTTCGCGCTCCTGCTGACGCGGCGAGTAGTGCGGTTTCGTTATGTTTTCAGTTTCGTTTGCCGTTTTATGTTTCTCATTTGCAACAGAAATGGCAGTGCTTATGAGTTGAACAACACGGTGGTCGCGCCAGTGCGACCGCTCACAAAATGTAGTCGCTCAGGCAGAAAAAATGGTCGCAAAATGCGACTATTTGTTTGCAGTCTGGAGCCCTGTATATGGCACGCTGCAACCCGCGCGGTGTTCAGCGCGCAGGTTTCACTCTCCTCATCACTGCGCGGTTTGACGCTCCACTCAGTATTCTGCTCTATGAATGTGCGTTCCACTCGTGTACCGCTCATGCTCACCGGAAAAGCAAAGTCCGCTCAAATAACGTGCTGACTGTAAATTTCTATGCAGTATACTTGTTCCTGTTTGCAGTAGCGCTACTGTGCTGTAACATGGTGTAGGCTAGTAGCCTACAGCTGTACTGGGCAACGCTGGTAAAATGATGCTACCTTCAGTGACGAATAAAAATAATATATTGATATTTAATATTAAGGTAACACTTTACAATAAGGTTCCATTAGTCAATGTTAGTTAATGTATTAACTAACGTGAACGAACAATGAACAATACATTTATTACAGTATTTATTCATCTTTCTTAATGTTAGTTAATGAGAATACAGTTGTTCACTGTTAGTTCATGTTAATTCAGAGTGCATTAACTAATGTTAACAAGCACAACTGTTGATTTTAATAATGCATTAGTAAATGTTGACTAAGATTAATAAATGCTGAAGAACTATTGTTCATTCTTAGTTCATGTTAGCTGAAGTAGTTAACTAATGTTAACTAATGAACCTTATTGTAAAGTGTTACCAATATTAATATAAATTCTGTCCAGTTTTATTGTTACTTTCAGTAAAAGTGTGGTTATTTTATTGGCTTGTGTTTTTAAAATTCAGTATCATTAAAATTGAGTTACATTTAAAAAGTCTTACAAAATCACTTTTATATTATTTAATAAAATAATAAATAATCATTACAAAGCGGTTTCGGTTTTCGGCCAAGTGCATCCAGAAGTTTTGGTTTCGGCCCAGAATTTTCATTTCAATGCATCCCTAATATTTATTCATGGTGGTACAGCTACTGGTACAGCTGTACAGTCTCTTTATTATTTGCTATGGTTATACTTTTGTTTACTTTGGCATGAAAGGAACTTTGACAGGCATCAATATAACTGCTGTTTTATCTGTTTTATATATAAAAAATATATTTTCTTGCATTGTGCATGCTAAAAAGTTCAAATCTTTCCATCATTCATTCTGTTTCACACCTTATCTAACTGTTCTCTTTCCTCCCTCTGTTGTCTAGGTTTCCTCTTGTTCAAGGATTTCTGCATGAACGAGATCGACGAGGCCGTTCCGCAGCTGAAGTTTTATGAGGAGGTAAAATTGGTTTAAATTGATATATATTCCTTTCATTGCTAACACATGTGGGTTTTTTTACTAAATAGTTTCCAAGTTGTGTATTTGACCTGACCTGTCCTTATGCTCTTTATGACCTGAATTGGCACAGCTCGTGAAGTTTTGTTCCCCTTCTATTGACCTGAAGAACACCATGTGTCCTATTAAGCTAAGATGACATCTAAAATGGCCGCAATCTTGTGTTGTCCCCTTCAGATTAGAGAGTACGAGAAGTTGGATTCGGAAGAAGAGAGGCTAACTCGCAGTCGACAGATATATGACGTCTACATAATGAAGGAGCTTCTGTCGTGTTCACATGTAAGAAAACATTTGGCAGAGTGTATAAAATGATCACTAGCAATAATGTCACATGCATATGACAAAGGGCTGCACAATAAAGAAATACTAAAGATTATCTCTTTGCCATTTTGCATTAAAATGATTTTAAAGGGGTCATATGATGCGATTTCAATTTTTCCTTTCTCTTTGGAGTGTTACAAGCTCTTGTTGCATAAAGAAGATCTGTAAAGTTGCAAAGACTAAAGTCTCAAATCCAAAGAGATATTCTTTTTAAAAGTTAAGAGTCAGCCACACCTACCTAAAACGGCTCATTCTAACACGCCCCCACATGTCTACGTCACGATGTAGGAAGATTTGCATAACTACTTTTTGCATAAGAAGGCATACATTCTATTCTTGCTGTAGTATTGTTGTTGCCGCAGCCGCCATGTTGTGAAGGCGCTGTGTGTTTCGTTGTGAAAGCGAAACTACTTTGTTTGACCTTCCAAAAGAGGACGATATCTGCTTCGTTATGCCTAGAGCTGATCCGTGCTGGTCACTGAGGAAATACATCAACTTCGCACTGTGGATTGCCGGATCAGCTTTCACTGTGGACGAAGCAGAATCCAGCCCGGGGTTGTCACATGTGGTTGCCGCAAGGCCGCCCGCCGCCAAATTGGCACCGGGTTTCGGTACCCAACCCTAAGCTTGAGGTATTTGGCCAATCACAACGCACTGGATAGCTGGCCAATCAGAGCACACCTTGCTTTTCAGACCGATGAGCTTTGTAAAAATTGATACGTTTCAGAAAGGTGGGCATAGAGGAGAAACAATAATGTACACTATGAGGAAAATAATGTGTTTTTTTAACCTTAAACCGCATAAACACATTTCATTACACCAAATACACAAAATAATGTTATTTTTATCAACATCATATGACCCCTTTAAAACTTGTCACGTGCAGTATGTTATTTAGACCTCTTCCTGTTTTTCTATTTGTGTATATAAACTTTTATTTATATATTATAATTTCCTATGCATTATATTTTTCTTTATATATATATATATATATATATATATATATATATATATATATATATACACACCACATTACAAATAATAAACTTTTTTTTAATATCTATTTTTTTAAATATAAAAATATAGGAGGGACTATGGTTCTTATTGTCCATTGAAGATCCGGAGACTCCATTCAGATGTTATATTTTTCTATGTAATATATTTTTTTATATATATATATATATATATATATATATATATATATATATATATATACACACCACATTACAAATAATAAACTTTTTTTTAATATCTATTTTTTTAAATATAAAAATATAGGAGGGACTATGGTTCTTATTGTCCATTGAAGATCCGGAGACTCCATTCAGATGTTTCTGTTGAGAAAACAAGTGTCCCATTAGGCTCCGTCAGACTCCAGTCGGAGCTTTTCAGAAACAGGAAACCTGAATGAAGCAACACAATGGCCTATAGGACACTCAAGGCCTGTGCGATTATGTCACAGTGTTTTATGTTGTGATAACCGGGAATGCTTAGGAGGTTAATGTCGAAGCTTGACGTTTGTTCAGGGGGAACAGTTCTTGTTGTTTTAGTGTTTTGACCTCCCTTATCGCAAAATGCCACTTAATCTACCTTCCTTTCTCACAGCCCTTCTCTAAGAAGGCAGTAGACCATGTCCAGACTCACCTAGCAAAGAAACAAGTTCCTCCAAATCTCTTTCAGGTAAGTCCCCTAACACGAAATAAAATCTAACCTGTTTTTCCGGGTGCTGGTTGGCTTTTGTGCATGAAACACAAAGGAAGTAAAGTGTTTAGGTAGCAGGACTCCCAATAGATCCTGATGCATTTGTTTGCTTTCCTTTTTCTAGCCATATATAGTCGAAATCTGTGATAGTCTTCGAGGAAAGATCTTTCAGAAATTCATTGAAAGGTGACGTTGACAGCTACAAAAAAGCATACTTTTATACTTTTTTTGTTGCTTGAGAATGATTTTAACATCTTTAAATCCTTTTGCTTCTCCCTATAGTGACAAGTTCACACGTTTTTGCCAGTGGAAGAATGTAGAGCTCAACATCCATGTGAGTTTTTCCTTATATTTGGTGCTTTTTATTCACCTGTAAGTTGTTTATTTTCCTTTATAAACTGGTTTTCTTTAATGTTGCTCTCGATTTTGCAAATAGTTGACGATGAATGACTTCAGCGTGCATCGGATCATCGGCAGAGGGGGGTTTGGTGAGGTATATGGTTGCAGGAAGGCAGATACAGGGAAAATGTAAGTGCTGTTGTAAGGATTCAACCAAAAACAAGCCAAATTTGTGTTCACATAAAAGCATCTGCTCACTTACTGTGTGTGTCTCAGGTATGCCATGAAGTGTTTGGATAAAAAGCGGATCAAAATGAAGCAGGGAGAAACGCTGGCACTCAACGAGAGAATCATGCTGTCGTTGGTCAGCACCGGGGTGAGTGACATACACAAACTCGGACTGCACACTAACATCCCTGTCTCGCTTGTTTGACCCTCTCTATATCTTTCTCTCTCTGCAGGATTGCCCTTTCATAGTGTGTATGACATATGCCTTCCACACTCCTGATAAATTGTGTTTCATCCTGGATTTGATGAATGGTAAGGGCAACCATCATCTCTTCGGCCTGCTATAGGCTTGTTCACACAGTGTGAATACACATCACAAAAATTGTTCGTTTTTAGTTTAGTGCCTAATGCTAAAGCTTCAAATACATTAATTTTTTTGGCACCAAAAAAATCAGCAGTTTAATGTTTTGACTCTTTCATGACATTGAAATACTATTGTAGTTTTTTTTATGTTTTGAAGTAGATTTTTTTTGCTGAAAATTTGAATTTGGTGTGAATACCATGAATCCTCAAATCTCAGAGATCCAAGCCAACACTACCCAGTTTGAGATTGTAAAAGCCTGTTTAGGGTTCTAAATTTGGCCTTCCTCTATAACTGAATGTCAGCTTGAACATGGGGCGGAGCTTCCTCTTCAGACACACTCACACTTCCTGTATATGTGTTGCAGCATGGGCCACTTCTCTGAACGTCCTTCTGGATTTGTGAAACAATCATATCACTTACGCAGGTCTTCAGAAACAGAGGAACATACTCTACAAAAGCGTTTAGACACTGAGTCCATTAATAATAACCCCTATTACGTTTTCTCAGAAATGTCCAATTTTCAAGTGGCTGTTCATGTGACGGCTCTCCATCAAACTACTCTTACTGGGTAGACTAGAAGATCCCTAACTGACCTATTATTTGAAACATAATCAGAGGGGATAAGTGTTTTGCAAACTGCAATTAAATATAAATGTCATTCCTCAAAAAAAGCTGTTGCGCAAGTTTCAGTAAATTCAAAATGTGAATTTAATCAAGAAGAAATCATCAGGTTTCTCAACAGATTCGATGGTGATTTCAGGGATTTCTTCAGTAGCTGTTATTTTGTTTTATTTTATTATGGTTTCTTTTATTTTACTATATTTTAGATGTTTTTAAGAAATTTCCTTACAAACAACTTAAATAGTAATTAAATTAATTGGTTGCAAGGTTTAAAATCACTGATTCATGAAATTTATTGGGATTTATATTCTATTTACTGGTCATATACATTTATAAAACAGTGTAATAATTTGATTGTACTTGTGTCTTTCAGGTGGAGACCTTCACTATCACCTATCTCAGCACGGCGTCTTCAGCGAGAAGGATATGCGTTTTTATGCAGCTGAGATCATACTGGGCCTCGAACACATGCACAATCGATTTGTCGTCTACAGAGACCTCAAGGTAAGGTCATCGCTGTCTCAGTCGTTCTTTTTTCACAGAGAAAGGATCGTTCATACTGTCCTCTGTCACTGGAAAGCCTGTTGATCTGTGCTTGTGATTCCCTGTTGCCGCTGAAGAGGGAAAATGAAATGTTCCGTTCGAGTTTGTGTATTTTGTAACATAAGCTTGTATCTGTTCTGTGTCGTCTGAGGTTATTTTTTATTAAGTTTGGCTGAGCTGTCTCTCTTGGCAGCACTATTTATTGTTTTTAAACGGAAAAGTACGTCATATTACGGAGCGAGTCGAGGTTAACCTACAGTTCCACACGTAGAGTGTAGCCTGCCATTGCGATGGCCGCGAATATCATGTAATTTGTCAACCCTCCATGTGGAAGCAGCAGGAGTATAGTTATGCGATCATTGTGAAATATGCCGTTTTAAGTGAGATGTTTGCTGAGGAGATATAGGATCTTCCCTGGCAAGCTTCTGAAACGGGAGATTGCACATGCGAGCGGGTGCATTCTGTGAGCGAACAATCCTGTTGTTTTTCCACAGTATCACAGCTGTTTGTGTTGAAGAAAAACTCTGCTCTGAGCAGCGCTCCTGAGAACCATAATACACAACATGATTTTCAGTGTAGTGTCTCTCTTACAGGGAAAGTTCACCCAGAAATGAAATTCGTCAGTTTACTTGCCCTCATGTCGTTCTGAACTTGTATGCTGCAATTTTTACGTGGAACAGAGGAGATGCTTTTTGATGAGTCTTTTTATACATTGGTAGTTTAAAGCTCATAGGAAATCTCATTGGTCAAAATCCCAGGAAATATTTATGTATGTATGTGTTTGTTTGTTTATTGGGCCAAAATATTGCCATATCAGTCGATATCGATAATTATCACAAGAAATTTTAAATATTTCTTTCTTTCAAGTTTAAAGGCAGATTATTGCTCCTAAATGAAAGTTGTAGAAACCAGACCATTAATTGTGGTTTTAAACTGCTCTTTATGTTCAGAACATGACCATTCAGAAACACTTCATGTTTTTGAATTCTTTACACTTTTCCAGTCATTTTTCCTTAAAATAAATGTCTTTGTTTCTGCATGTTCTAATGAGTGACTATTGTTTCAAAACATGAGACGGGTTTGTGTTCCTGACTTTGATGACACGAATCTTCAGTACAGTTTGCAGTGCAGGCTGCAATATTAATAATACTAATTTTTTTGGTCTCATACACATTTGAGAGCAGCTAGTAGTACTTTGAATAAGGATGCAGATGTAAATTTATATTCATCATCAAAAACAGTAACATCTGTAAAAAATGTAACAACCTCATTTTTAAATGGTAAAGTGTAATTATTCTGTTTGAGTTGTATTAAAATTAACCATTGGTCTTCCATAGTAGCATACATTTAGATCATGATAACCACAGTTAAAACCACACATATGGTTACCCTAGTAAAAATGCAAATATATGGTTTCTAGGTATTTGTATGAAAAACGGTAGTCTAAATACATTTGGTATAAATGCACAAACGCTACAGCTTAATCACACAAATACAGTAATTATATTCAATTACTCCTTTAATACATGTCTACATGGTAAATGATGGTGATTTGTAGATTGAAAACCCTTCTGACTGTATCATTGCGCACAGTGTTTCCCGTTTGTCAGCACTATTTCATCTGGCTTCAAACTAGTTGAAATTACCGAGTCCTTTGTGTTCTTCACTGAATTTAAGCGCTTCACACTGGATCTCACATTGCTGTTTAGTGGTCGTGTGACGAGACTTATCAGCGAGTAAACGCATCTGCTCTAGTGAGCTCGCGCTGCGCTGCCGAGCAGATAAATGGTTCAAAGGAGTAGTGCTGTTTTGTTCCGCCTTTGGCTCATAAACATCATATCGAACATTTATCAAACTCTTGTTACCGGTTTATCGAGAAAAAATAAATTGTGATAATTATCGTTATTGTTTTGTTGCCAGCCCTATTTATTTATTTATTTTGAAATCTCTTAAGTCAGAATGTATATTAAAGATCAAATATGTTCTCATTGGCTGTTATTGTGTGACACTGTGTGATATAAATGCTTTTTTCACTGGACCGTTTTGGCTTTGCGCTTAGACAAAATGCTACACTAATGCGGTTTTTCTTAATTAAATGTACTCCGTTTAATCACAGTGGTGCTGTTTTTGTAGATGTTCACAAAAAGACAGTCTGTTCTTTATCAGGCTCTTATTTTTTTGGTCTGTTGGATCACTTTCTGTTCCCCACAGCCTGCAAATATCCTCTTAGATGAACACGGACACGTTCGCATCTCTGACCTGGGCCTGGCCTGTGATTTCTCCAAGAAGAAACCTCACGCCAGCGTGTAAGTTCCTCTTCATGAGTATTCAAAACTCATCTTTTATTAGTGTAAAATAAAAGTGCCTGTTGTTTGGGGAAGGTGTGGTTGCTTCTGTTCTCTGATTATGTTTCTTTGAGCATACACATGTTCTTTGTTGTCTCATACTCACGCATATTGCAGTTTTTTTATACCGCAGTCTAATCCGTTTTCTCTGTGCATGTATACAGATTTTTTCACTAACGAATTGCTTACAAGCAGACACGTTATACTTGTATGCAATGTTTGCGCTCACATATTTGCATGCAGTATGTTTTGGCTAGTTATTTCAGTGTCCTTTAATCTGAATTGTTTTGATGAATCTCTTTATTTTGCAATGAATTTGTTTGTTAGAAACATTTTACATTTGAAGGGGACAGTTAAGATTTTTATTTTGAAATGAATTATTGTACACTATGGTTCAGAAGTTCACAAAGGCTGCATTTATTTAACCAAAAATACAGTAATATTGTGAAATATTATTACAATTTAAATTAACTTATATTTTAATATATATTAAAAAATACTTTATTCCTGTGGTGACAAAGCTGAATTTTCAGTGTCCCGTGATCCTTTAGAAATCATTCTGATATGCTGATTTGATGCTCACAAAGCATTTATTATCAATGTTGAAAACCAGTTTTTGCTGCTTAAACTGATATATTTTTTTCCAGAGTTCTTTGAATAGAACATCGTTTGTTTAAAATTTAGCAATATTATAAATGGCTTTAATTTTTTTTAATGAATTTAATATGTCCCTGCTGAATAAAAAATATTAATTTCTTTTTTAAATTATATTTTAAATGGTGGTGTAATAAGCAGACAAACTGATGTTTTCAAAGCAAAGCTCTGTCTCTCATGCATTGAAAGTAAGTTGTACAAATAAAATTGTTGTGGATATGACGTCATAGCTGTGACAATTTTAACATATGACCCTCTCGTTTACATGTCAGCACCAATTCAATGCTCATTTCACATTCAAAGGGCCTGGACAGTTTTATTTATAAAAAGTTCTCTCTTAAATATGGACAGTACAATCTTAAAAGCACAGTAGCAAAAACATCCTGGTAAATTCAAAGGGTTAGAGAGAGGATGGAAAACCTTTTATGTGTAATGTAGCAGTTCTTTGACTGTTTGTGTTATGTATGAGAATGAGCTTTGTTGTGTTTACAGTCAGTGTGTGCTCAGCCTGGGGGGTATGTGTGTACGCTTTGAATTTAATGTGCATTAATTGCTGTATGTTTCTTTGAGCATACACATGTTCTTTGTTGTCTCATACTCACGCATATTGCAGTTTTTTTATACCGCAGTCTAATCCGTTTTCTCTGTGCATGTATACAGATTTTTTCACTAACGAATTGCTTACAAGCAGACACGTTATACTTGTATGCAATGTTTGCGCTCACATATTTGCATGCAGTATGTTTTGGCTAGTTATTTCAGTGTCCTTTAATCTGAATTGTTTTGATGAATCTCTTTATTTTGCAATGAATTTGTTTGTTAGAAACATTTTACATTTGAAGGGGACAGTTAAGATTTTTATTTTGAAATGAATTATTGTACACTATGGTTCAGAAGTTCACAAAGGCTGCATTTATTTAACCAAAAATACAGTAATATTGTGAAATATTATTACAATTTAAATTAACTTATATTTTAATATATATATTAAAAAATACTTTATTCCTGTGGTGACAAAGCTGAATTTTCAGTGTCCTGTGATCCTTTAGAAATCATTCTAATATGCTGATTTGATGCTCACAAAGCATTTATTATCAATGTTGAAAACCAGTTTTTGCTGCTTAAACTGATATATTTTTTTCCAGAGTTCTTTGAATAGAACATCGTTTGTTTAAAATTTAGCAATATTATAAATGGCTTTAATTTTTTTTTAATGAATTTAATATGTCCCTGCTGAATAAAAAATATTAATTTCTTTCAAAAAAAATAAATCTTACTGTCCCCAAACTTTTAAATGGTGGTGTAATAAGCAGACAAACTGATGTTTTCAAAGCAAAGCTCTGTCTCTCATGCATTGAATGTAAGTTGTACAAATAAAATTGTTGTGGATATGACGTCATAGCTGTGACAATTTTAACATATGACCCTCTCGTTTACATGTCAGCACCAATTCAATGCTCATTTCACATTCAAAGGGCCTGGACAGTTTTATTTATAAAAAGTTCTCTCTTAAATATGGACAGTACAATCTTAAAAGCACAGTAGCAAAAACATCCTGGTAAATTCAAAGGGTTAGAGAGAGGATGGAAAACCTTTTATGTGTAATGTAGCAGTTCTTTGACTGTTTGTGTTATGTATGAGAATGAGCTTTGTTGTGTATACAGTCAGTGTGTGCTCAGCCTGGGGGGTATGTGTGTACGCTTTGAATTTAATGTGCATTAATTGCTATGTTTGCAGAGGAACTCATGGCTACATGGCACCTGAGGTTCTGCAAAAAGGAACAGCGTACGACAGCAGCGCCGACTGGTTCTCTCTGGGCTGCATGCTGTTCAAACTCTTGCGAGGGTAAGACCGCCCTCTGCAGTGGCCTGCTCATGAATTCTTTATTTGTCTCTCTCTCTCTCTCTCTTTTAGTCTCTGTCTGTGTTTCTCACCTGTTTGATGTGGAGTGTAAAGTTTAAATGTCATGGGTTTGGAAGTAGGAGGTCAGGAGCAACCATCATAGAGAAGAAAGACACAGAGAGTGGGGGTGGAGACCGCTGAAAAGGTTGCTAGGTAGAGAGTGGGGGGTGTGCGGAAGATGTAATGGGGGGAGGAGTCTGGGGCATGTCTTTCCACTGAAGTGTGTCATACGCTCTTCAAAGCAGAATGGAAGCAGGTCAGAACAGGCCCAGAAACGCTATATATTTGTAAACTTTACAAAAAAAATTTTTTTTCCTTCTCTATATTCTCTAAATACATATATACATGTATATATTTATCATTAAATTATACAGTGCACAGCATAAATGAGTACACCCCGTCTGATTAAATATAAAATATGTATTTTCTTAAAGATCACTAATATAATTCATAGAAAGATGGCAAAATTGAAGGCATCTTCAGTTTCAGGTTTTTGTATTACATCACACAGTGGTGTGTGAATTCATGACAGCGTTGATAAAGTACAACTCCCTCACACCTTCAGCACTCATGCATCCCTATAGAAGAGCTTTACTACCACTGAATGCCACTGTGGGAACCAGGCACTTCTCTCTGTACTCCTCTTCTAGCAACACCAGAACATTTTGGATGCTGTTAGATCTGAAATGATTGAATTGGTCTCATGAGACCAGAGTATGGATTCCCAGAAGTCTATATTTTGTAAATATGGGCCTTGGAAAAAGCTAAATGAGTTTATTGTGCTTTGACTACAGTCGGTAGTTCTGGTGTGGATAAACAACCATGCATGTCACTTCTGCATGCTGCATCTTACTCTGTGAGATAAAGTGTCACTCTTTTCACAGCTTTTGCCGGCTATGAGACACTTTCACAGAGTTTCTCCTGCTGTTTTTCTAGCAAAAACTCACTCATCACTAATTGAAAGCTTAAAGTGAAGACTTGATTATTTCAGGGGCCTTTTCACATGTCCATTGTTTTTGAATTTCTGTGTTACTTTGGCTATATTTTCACACTTAAAACAAAACAAAACAAAGCATTCCTCTTGTACCATTGCCCTCTTTTATGCTAAGAATAAATCTCCTGACAGTTCTCTCTCAAGTGGTTTCATTGTTAGCATAGAAAAATTAATTTCTTTGTTTCTGCATGTTCTAATGAGTGATTATTGTTTCAAATCATGAGACGGGTTTGTGTTCCTGACTTTGATGACACGAATCTTCAGTACAGTTTGCAGTGCAGGCTGCAATATTAATAATACTAAATATTAATTTAAAAAAATTCGGTCTCTCATACACATTTGACAGCAGCTAGTAGTACCTTGAATAAGGATGCAGATGTAAATTTATATTCATCAAAAACGGAAACATCTGTAAAAAAAATTTAACAACTTAATTTTTATATGGTTAAGTGTAATTAATCTGTTTGAGTTGTATTAAAGGGGTCATATGATGCCGATAACCACAGTTAAAACCACACATATGGTTACCCTAGTAAAAATGTAAATATATGGTTTCTAGGTATTTGGTTTCATTAAGTCGGAGTATGATTCAGTGGACCATATAACTTAATTATCAAGAAATGACTTGCCTTTAACAGTTTTGGTTCAACATACTTACCTGTTGATCAATACTTACCTTAACCTTACACCAGATTTTTTTTTGCGAACCTGTAAACGCCCACATCACCTCTGTAAACAAAGCATGAAGATTCATCAACTTTCAGGAGGGTGTACTCATTTTTGCAACACAACATTTGATCACTTTGATAAGAAAATGGCATTTTCTTGAATAATTTTAACTTTCTTCTTTAGTAACTGATCAAGCAGACTTGCTGGAATATTATAGCTGTAAAACACCATAACATGTCTTCTAAGCAAAGAGTAATTGCTGAATTTGTTAAGTTTCAGAGGGGGTGTACTCATTTATGCTCTGCACTGTATATAAAGTAAATATATAATTTTAATGATAATTTTTTATAAATACATATAATTTTAATGATTATTTCTACAGTTCTATATGCAATGTATGTGTGGTTATTTATAAATTAATATAAATGTGCGAGTAAATATAAATACATTTTAATGATTATTTATAGTATCTTATAAATAAATAATGTTGTTATAACATATTCATATTAAATTAACAAAAACTATTTTAATAGTTAACATTAAAACTGGCAGTTAGCCTTTCAATGGATGCTGATCCATCTCAATTGTTGCTTTGCAACAAAACGATAAGACAGTTAGATGCTTATGTCTCACGATCAATGACTGAGATTGAAACATTTTTGAACTCTAATGGAAACCCCCCTCCTGACTACACGTCACAGCTAAATCACTACTTGTGTCCTCTGTATAACTTTCGCGAGGCTAAGCACTGTGTTCAGTTACATGAACTGTTTCTTCTGTTCTCGCAGGCACAGCCCATTCAGACAGCACAAGACCAAAGACAAACATGAGATTGATCGCATGACCCTTACCATGGTAAGAAACCAAAGAGGTTGTTTCTCTTTATGTATCTTCACACATAATCACATATATATATACATATATATATACATATATATATATATATATATATAAATGAGTGCTCTGATTTAACCCTCTGGTTTTGTGGCATTTTTGATTGTACAGATAAGAGCAATATGGCATTTGAATCTGTAAGGGGCTACTTTTCTATACACTTATAATAACAACAAAACGCTGTGCTTTTGTAAAATTAAGAAAACAAACAGGGTGCGCTTTCTGCCGTCTCGGTCTCTGTGAACTACTTTCTGAAACGTGTCACAAAAATGAACCAAAACTCAGTGAATACTTGACACACAGACACTTGGCCATAACCAGGGTTTGAAAATTAGTGAAGTCTGGGGTGGGGTTAAGAGTTGTACTTTAATAACCCCTACAAATACAACTCATTATATACACTAAACACTTTAAAAGAGACAGACATGTAGATGTTTGTGAAAGATGTTTTCTGTTTTGGAGGGATGAACATTGTTAAATTATATCATTTATTGCATCAAAATGTGTTAATACTTTACTATAGGTTAGGGGTGGATCATTTTATCAGTTGTTTATTATTTATGCAACAATACATATTTACTGATATAGTTTTCATTAATAACCATTGCTATATAAATGATAACTGTCTAGTGCTCTTATGAGTGTTTTTAGCATGACTTTGTGAAAATGTAACTACTATACACCTTATTCTTCAACACGGAAGTAAGCCTATGGGCAAGACTTCCGGTTCATTAGCCGCTTTAGGGAAATAACGAGAAGAATAACAACGTGCAGTGAACGGTAAAACTGTTTGCACCACAAACCAGTGTGTACATAATATAAGTATAATACATTAAAATAATATGGTTAGACACATGAATTTGCAATGTCAAGCAGCAAAACGAGCTGTTTTGTACAGCTAAAAATAGCTGGACATGGATGAGAACGGAAGCCAGACCCATAAAAATTACAAATGGCCGTACCCACTCTTACGGGACGAATAAGGTGGATACTGAATTAAATAGCATAGACTTCTTCATGGCTAGTGTTTGCATATTTCATTCTGTAACCTACTTGTTCTACAGATCTGTGTACTAGTGTTAAAATGCTACTGTTTTAAATCGCATTGATAACGTTTCTGACAGATAATATCATGATGATTTTTGCATTTGCCTTACCGAATGTGGTATCCTGTCAGCAATAACCTGTCTGTGGGCTTTTTTGATTACTGTCAGTTCCCGAGCCAGCAAACAGTGTTGCCAGATATTATGAAAATAAATAAAAACCTCAAAATTAAAAAAAAAAAAACCAAAATTTGTTCAAATCTTTTGCAAATAAGATCAGATAAAGATGTTGCTAACCCTAAACTGCAACTTCCCTCTTTATTAATTTTCTAAAGTGTCAAATTAAGTGGGAAAAGACAAATCCAAAGATGCTTATAATAGCTGGATCTCCGCCCGCACCCTCACTCACAACTCTCTCACACCTTGTTCACTCCGCCAGCATCATTTTCATACCACAGACACTAAACATTGTTGCAAACTGTCTAAACGTATACATGCAGACACTCACATGAGGAGGTTTAAACGGCAAATTACTCGTATATCGGTGACCTCATAGCTGGCTATGGTCTTGTCTACTTTTAAATGAAGTAATTTAAAAAACAAATGTTCTCTGGTAAAGTAATCCGTATGAAACAAACGCGAGGTCCAGTCTTTCCCGTCTGAGCTCATTATCTGTAATGTGATCATGCCCACGCGCAGCACGCGCCATTCAAACGGTAATCATCCACGTGAGATATGCGAACCTGTAAACGCCCACATCACCTCTGTAAACAAAGCATGAAGATTCATCAAGTTCATCTAGGATACTTTTAGTTTCTGGAAGAAGACTCGCTGAGAGGAATAAGCCAGAATTTACCTCAGAAGGCGGCGGCGATGCGACACGACGTGTGGCTTGAGCAGTGGAGGAGATCATTTCTGATGAGTAAGTCATGTTTTATTACTTGCATTAGTTGTTATTGTGTTATTGAGACATAACCTGTACAGATTTTGCTTTACCCAAACTGTAATTACTGACTAAATGTATGAAATCAAGTGAAACATTTTTAAATGTTTCATTTCATTGCATCTAAAATTATTACGGTCCAGGATGTTTTTTTTTTTAATGTTCTATAAAATATAAAACAATATGATATAAAAGTAATATGAGTGTTTACACTGTAATACTATGAATGTTAGGGTACTTTCACACTAGCACGTTTGGTGCACACCCGGGTTCAATTGGCGTCAGAGTTCGGTACGTTTGGCTAGTGTGAAAGCTGTCATGTGAACGTGGGTGCGCACCGACCGAACCCGAGACTACCTGAAGGAGGTGGTCTGAGTTCGATTGCACTCGAACCATGGCGCGGTTCGCGTGAATATGAAAGCAACACGGACTCTGGTGCGCACTTGTTCAGGAAATAAAGTAACCTGCGCATACGTTTTAGCACATTACAATGTATTTTCTTCAATAAAACATATAAGTGAGGATAGTGTTGCTGATTTACTTTGGATTCGAGCGAGACTGAGCCTGTTCGCGTGTAGCAACTGCAATCAGAGCGGCAAATGAATGGTAATCCACTATCTCCTCAAAATAGCCGTCTACATGCGATGCACATACAGTAAACCCATATGCCGTTTACTCTGCTGCGCATAATAGCTCCAAATTAATTCAAAAACACAATATATTGACCTAAGTTCTGTTTTCTGTCATATGTTGTGCATGTTTGTGATGACGTAAGGTAAACGCAAACACACATAATAAAACCGTATCAAGAGTGTGAAACCAGACAAACGCTACGGGGGGTGCCGGGAACAATCGCACTCTGGTTCAAACCACATCAAACGAGCCCAGTGTGAAAGCCACCTTAGAGTCTAAGAATGTTTAGACCAATCTTTACTTTGAAATACTCTGTTTGCAAATGTATGTCGATGTTTATAACGTGCTTAATAATAATTTAGTTTCTCAGACATAAAATGTCTTTGTATTTTATAATGCATACAAAATGTGCTTGTGTTTATGACTACAAAATAATGTTTTTTAGGACTTATGAGTGGGCAATATTAGTGATTGCTAATGTAATAATATAGTTGCTCCTGATATCAACAAGCTAATATATGTTTTGTTTTGTTTTGTGAACAGATAACTTGAAGACTTCACTTCAAAGTGTTTTCCTCTGAGAGTGCTGTATCAACATCAGAATCTGTTCAACTGCACTGGGCTGATATTCTTTACAAATATGGTAAATAAGCTCCATGACTACTGATGATGGGGCTGGGTTTTTTTTCTTAAATCCGTGGAAAGAAGCAGTAAACACCTTGGAAATACCAGTTATGGTTTACATGTTTCAACAGTGGAACAAGATCTGTTTTCAAGAAAAGCACAAAGGTGTGTGACTGTTCAAGTCTCTGTGTTTAGATCAGTGTGCTCAATAATGTGTCTTTGACCTTCACTGTGTATATTTTGATTATATTATGTTGTAAATAAAATACAAATAATCAAAACACCCATTATTTTAGTCTCCTCACATTCATTCTTACCTGCCTCACAGTCACACTGATGGCCCATTAGGGGAGGGGCCTTTTTCTCTCAGGTGTGAATCACTACATATTCATGGCCATTGTCACTCCCTCACATACGGCCTTTCTGACACAAAACATGTCTTACAAAAATTAAATCAATATATTGTTTTCTGTGAATGAGTGGGCAGGATGATTTTCACATTATTTTATAGCAATAACTCCAGTCTACCACATCCAGTTCTCAAAAGTCTTGTGGACAAATGTTCTGTATGTGTTTTATGGCCTTATTTCAGTATTTAGCCGTTTTTATTTTTCCACTAACACATAAACGTTGTTTTCTCAAAAACACAAACATGTGCATTTCATATTGCTTACATATTATTGCAGAACAGTTTGTGCTGAATACAGTGTAATCGGACTTTAGCCATTAATATGTTTTTAAGATACTGAAAAAAAGCACAAATGTCAGGACATGTCAAAACCTCTCCAGGGCCCCAAAACTCCCTCAGACCCTAGAGGGTTAAGTTAGATTGATGATGGATAAAATGGGAAGAAAATTCCCATCGAATAAATTAGGCCAGCACCTACCAAGAACATCTTAGCAACCACCCAGTTCTTAGTTATAGCTGTAAAGACTTCAGTTGAATCTTCTGTCAGTTCAAACTAGAAAGAGCTCCCTTATGCTGATTGACTGATATTGCTGTGAAACAGGAGTTGGGTAAACGAGCCACAGCTTTCCATGGAAGTGAAGAGGGAACATTTCATCACAGGAGCACCTGTGCCTTCATACCCACTATGTTTAACAAGGGAATGCTAATGGAGAGGAATTTGCATCCACGCTTTGCATTTACTGTCGTCCTCTCACCATCACAGTAATTTAGTCCTCATCGAGCTGCCACGCTCTTGACTGTTGTACAGTCACTAGAAAGGAAGTCACTTGTTTTTAATGCTGATTTTGTCATTTTCCTTCAAAATGAAGACACAAGTGAGCTGTCTACTTAAAGGGGTCATATGATGCAATTTTAAAGATCATTATTTTGTGTATTTGGTGTAACAGAATATGTTGACATGCTTTAATGTTCAAAAAACACATTATTTTTCAAATACTGTACATTATTGTAGGTCCTCTATGCCCCACCTCTCTCAAACACGTCGTTTTCAACAAAGCAAATACTTAAACTGATAACAAAACATACTTACAGTCGCTGATTCAGAAGCGCCAGATTGTCATAACAAAGTTGGAATTGACCCTTTTTTCTTTTTTTTTCTTTTTTTTAGAAATAGCCTTTGTATAACTAAAATAACTTTTATAAAGAATATCTCTTTGGATTTGAGACTTTAGTCTTTGCAACTTTACAGATCTTCTTTCTGCACCAAGAGCTTGTAACACTCCAAAGAGAAAGGAAAACTTGAAATCGCATCATATGACCCCTTAAAGCATCCGTGATCCCGAAGGCAAAATTATGCTACTTTCGGAGACATCTTGTTTTGAAAGTAGGCCCAAAATACATTGTGCAACTTAAAGGTCCACTGAAATGCTTAGAAACACGCAGCGTTAAGGCTTGTTCACACCGGGACGAATATCGTGTGCGATGATCGCCGACGTTTAACGCCTCGTGACTAAACAAAGGGAGCCAATGTGAGTGTGCACACCTATGCTCAAAACGCGAGGCGTAAAAGCATAATATTTTTTTTTAAACGCCTCTGGCTCATTTTTTTGGTTTGACGCACCGCGTTAAAAACTGGCCGACCAATGAGATTGGCGCTTTTGTTCACGTGCCTGGAGCTGCTGAAGTTACAGGAAAACACGACTTGGTGGCACTCAAGCACAAAATGGTCTTGCCAAGCACACATTGATACCTAACGACGAAGAGGAAGTAAGTAGACCAAGAAGATGCATCGAGACAAGATGAATGTAGAGCTGCTGGTCTCATTGGTGTCTGAACACAAAGGGCTTTATAACAAACGCAACAGCAACTACAAAAATCTCGATAAGAGGGAGTTGTTATGGAGAGGAATTGCAGATCAAATCAGATTTGATGTGTACCGGGGTATTTCTGTTTTTCATTAAGCGCCATCTAATGTCAGGGAGTGAATTTGCACGTTCACTCGGCTCATCACCAGCGAAAATCGCTTGGGTATGAACACACAAGACGCGTCAGAAAAACGTCAGCAATAAGCGCTGTCGCCATTCACTGTACAGAAAATACTAATTCTGTGGACAAGTGACAGATTTCAGCCACGGCTTCAGCATCTATTTTATAGTTTAGGGGGGTGGGCGCTTCGGATTCTAGAGAGCATTTGATTGGACAAAGTTTGATGAGAAGCTGAAGTACGATGCGACGTCAAAAAAATAGTTGAGCCGTTTTGGCGGAAGTGACGAACTGCAAGCTTTGAATGCTTATATCTTCTAAATGCGAATTTTGTCACTGTTTTGGAGCACACTGCCTTATAGATAATCTTAAGACTAACATATTGATACTAACACCCAAAAAACTTTCATTTTGATTTCATGGGGACTTTAACGGATGAACTCAATGCAAATGTCAATTATAAATGTATTTTTTAAATTCAAGTAGTAAGAGTATCAAATGGCTTGTTTAGAGACAGACTTTATATTGCTGCCTGTGAGGAACGAATCAAATCAGTCATTAGGACTTAGAGCTTAGGACTTGAAAAAAATCTTTTCAGAAATCAGCAGAAAAAGCTCTTCTGTGTCTAAGCAGCTGTTCTCCTGCAGAGAAGTTTAACAGTTTTCCTTTGACAAGCAAGATGATCGTGTTTTATTTGGAAACTGGAACACATAGATTTTGGGCCAAGACTGACAGTGCTGTCACAATGTTCAGTGGTCTTTATAATGTCCAGCAGTAAATCGTTTAGTTTTTTTGTTTCCTCTGGTGAAATAAAAGCTATTCCAGTGGACACAGAGCAGTCCTGACACAGTAATTTAGCTATTAAGGTTTGTTTTAGGATGCTGACCTCACTGGGAAAGTTATCTCCAGATTTCATTAGTCAAGGATTTAAAAGCTGTCTTGTAAAATAAGCTGTTTTATTGTCTGATCAGATTTAGTTAAGATTGGACTGTAAAACTCAATCATGACTCCACAGAGGTTCGTTGGCGGACGCACACTACCATTCAAAGGTTTAAAGTTGCTAAGATTTTTGAAAGAAGTCTCTTCTGCTCACCAAGGCTGCATTTATTTGATAAAAATACAGTAAGAACACGTATATTGTGAAATATTATTAAAATTTTAAATGACTTTTCTACTTTAATATATTTTAAAATAATTTATTTTTGTGATGATAAAGCTGATTTTTCAGCAGAACTACTCCAGCCTTCAGTTCCACATGATCCTTCAGAAATCATTCTAATATACTGATTTGCTGCTCTAGTAACTTTTCTTATTATCAATGTCAAAAATAGTTTGGCATAGCATTTCTTGTAGCATTTATTTCAAAGAGAAATTTTGTGTAACATTTTAAATGTATTTTCTGTCTTTTTTGGTCAGTTGTATGTGTCCTTCCTGCCTATAAGTCTAAATTTCTTTAAAAAATAAAATAATAAATCTTACTGACCCCAAACTTTTAAACAGTACTGTATATAGTGGCACTTTTGAAACAGGTAGGGGGAAAACTCCCATAGACTTTGCATTAAATGAGGAACCCAAGACCAGAATATTGTTGAGACTTGAAGCTGGGCTCTTTTGACTCAAACACACTAGCAAGTACATAGCAACAAGCTACTACTCAGAACACCATAGCATCTATAATGCAATGCTCTGTTATTTAGTTCAGTGTTACAGTGACTGTACCTGATAGCCTGAATTGAGTGAAGTTTGTTTGTCTGCATTTACTGTGACTGGTGAATGTTGACCTTGATTTCAATGTGCAGTTGGCACTGCCTGTTATGTAAGAGAATTGTTTTGGTTGTCCTCGCATTCATTTGTATGATTGTGAGGATATTTAAATACTGTTAAGCACTCTGTACTGTTAATGCTCTGTTGATCTAGACGGCTACTGGAAAGTTTGCTGTTCCTACGTATTTGCATTTTACTAATGAATGTTTAGTGTAACTGATTAGGAAAGCTAATGAAACAAAAGTAAACATCTGGTGAAAGTCAAACACCAGCCAACACGGCATAAAGTCTTGTTTAACAAGATATCAATCCAACTCATGAGCTTCTTCCTGTTCTTTCTCTTTCATCAGAATGTGGAGTTGCCTGACTCCTTCTCACCTGAGCTCAAGTCCCTCTTGGAAGGACTCTTACAGCGAGACGTCGCCAAAAGATTGGGGTGTCTGGGACGGGGGTAATTCAGATGGCCTCCATCTTGAAGATTAGACATCTAGATATCTGTAATACTTAGACATTTTATCGGATGTGTATTTGGTTTGTAGTAAATAATATAAATGAAAAAAAAAAACAGTTTGATGTCCAAATGAAGCGATTGTCTGAAAGCATTTAGACTTATAAAAGACAGAAGGGCATGCTGGGAATTATTTGTAGCTCGTTCTGAATTGCTGACACCTGCTGGTCAGAAGTGGTGATGGTTGATAGACATCCTATTTTACCTGCATACATACAGTATACTCATGCAAAGCAATATATAGCTATATCTATATAGCAAATCTCAACTGATTTTTATTTTGTTGCAAAATATAACTATATTAACGCCCAGCTCTTTAACTAAAGTTTTATTTATATGTCCAGATTTATCGGCATACATACAATATACTCATTTAAAGTGAAATATACTATCTAGCAAATCTCAACTGTGTGATTGTTTATATTGTTGCAGCACGTAAACTATATTAATTCCCTGTTCTAATCTGCTAAATGCAACTATAAGACAACATTAACGTCATGATTTTCTGTAAAGCTGCTGTGGAACAATGTGTAGAGTGAAAATTACTTTACAAATGTATTTGACTTCAGTGTGATCTCATGTACTCAATGTAGGGCGTCAGAAGTAAAGGAGCATTTGTTCTTCAAGGGAATCGATTGGCAGCAGGTCTATCTTCAGAAGGTGAGACCTTCAACATTGTTTTTGGTATCAGCCCTAATAAGGAGCTCTGTTGAAGTCCTCATATCGTACATTCTGATTAAATAAGGTTTTGTGTAATTGCAATTTATAACTGATCTGATTTAGAGTTCAGATGATTGACTAGTCATCCAAAAATCAATTGGCAAGCCTCAGATTTTTTTCTTTTTCATTTTTAGTGGTGCTGCTTTAAAAGGAATGCATTTAGATGAACGTTATCGCAGAGTGTTTTAGAGTGCTGACAGTGGCTGTTAGCATACTAAAATCGGAACCGCCATCAAAGCCAAGCCTTCAATGATACATTTTCATAAGTCAATTACTGTGTGACCTCATATCACTTTCTGTGAGCAATGTTCCTGTTAGTGTGCACAATCTTTTGATCTCGGTGTTATGAGGACTGTCATAGTTTTCTGAAATAAAATGTCATAAACACTGAGCCTATGGAGTGCAACAGTCAAGTTTCCGCAAGTAAAAGCTCCATTCATTTTATCCATGGAGGAATTGATTTTTAATGAAAATTATAAACTTATAAAGACACGGTTTAAAGTCCTTGGGAAGAGTGAATGAAACATTGCTGAAAAAGTGGTCAGGCACTGTTACACTCTGTTGAATGGCTGTTTTAAACATCGATATATGACCAAAAAGCACATCTGATTGGTTCCTGATGTACATGAGCTTTAGTTGTGCAAATATTTAAAACTAAAAATTCTAAAAATATTTAAATCTGAAAATATTGTGCTTTGCACATCCCTCCCATAATTGTTTCTCTAAGGATTTGTGTGATACTTTCTGCATCTTCTGTTTGGTTGCAGTACCCCCCACCTCTCATTCCCCCCAGAGGAGAAGTCAACGCTGCGGACGCCTTTGACATCGGCTCCTTCGATGAGGAGGACACCAAGGGAATTAAGGTAAAACCAGTAACTTTAGTAACTTTTCACTTATTCCACTTGGTGCTCAAGGCTGATGTCTTTGCTTCAGCTAAGTGACCATCAAAGCAGACTACTTGGTAGTTTTTCAAGTGGAGCCAAGATTGTGTCCAGCACTGAGAGAACCGTATAAAATCTAAGAGCACTTGAGCTTGTATTTCATGCTTTGAAATCTGGAGGAATTTTTCCACTATGCTGTGAGCATTTTAAATGACTCCCTTGTAGCCAGAATTTCACTTCAAGCACAAAGTCTGGTCTACGTTGCAACTTATTCTCTCCAAGACTGCCTATTTAGACATGAAGAGATTGTCTGAATTGAAAGTAATTGTCATCTTTGTGTCTCTCTCTCAGCTGCTTGACAGTGATCAGGAGCTCTATAAGAACTTTCCGCTGGTGATCTCCGAGCGCTGGCAGCAGGAGGTGGCCGAGACGGTGTACGATGCCGTCAACAGCGACACAGATAAGAATGAGGCGCGCAAGCGGGCTAAAAACAAGCAGCAGGGACATGAAGAGGGTGAGACACAGCACCTTAGTTTTATTGTTGCATTTATTTATTTTCTGCACATTTCCCCCTCAAATTCTCATTCATGTATTATGGCTTATTATTCAAAAATTATTTTAGATTTCATGTATTTATGTAATATTTATGTTTTTAAAATAATATATACTGTCATTCAAAAGTTTAGGGTAAATATGATTTAATGTTTTTTGAAGTCTCTTATGCTCATCAAGACTGCATTTATTGGATCAAAAATAGTAAAAAAAATAATAATAATAATATTGTGAAATATTATTACATTTTAAAATAGCTGTTTTCTATTTTAATATATTTTAAAGCATAAATTCTTCCTGTGATAGCATCATTGATCAATTTAGAATTAATTTAAAAGTATTTATTTAAACAAATACTTTCTTACCCCAAACTTTAAATGGTAGTGTAAATGTAAAAAATTTTTTTTTACGTTTGTTTTATAATTTTGTATATTTTATCATTTTATATCTATAGCTAATTATTTGGTTTTGAATCTTGAAATATAGCCTTCATATTGCTTTGTGAAATTTGTGCACTTAGAAACTAACATATATGTATTGCAGAGCTTCCTGTGCAGTCAATAGATATTTAGAAGTTTATATTTCTTGGAGAAATCTTTTCATGTACACTACGTTTTTTTACTAGTGAGAGGTGTCATGGCAATGTACACAGAACAGCTGGTTGCAAAATGCTGTTTGTAAACATCCTGTTTGCTCTTATTCAGCAGACTCTCATTTTCTGACTTCTGAGAACTGTAGCGGGTTGCTTGGGAGTGTCCTGTATTTTGGACTTCCAGAGGGTCATGAACCTAATGAACGGCCGCTCCAGGCATCACATTGTCTGCGGCACTCGGTCATTTACCCAGGTTTTAAGCCGGTCCAAAAGATAATGTTTTCTGGTGGAAACTCCAGTTTGCGTTAAATCATAAGCCGTCTACAGAATTGACAAGCACTAATTTCACACAGTGGTGTCAAGAGAAGAAAATGGCCTCTGCTACGGTAGTGCTACATTCTCCAGCATGAATTAAAGGCCCAGACTGACGTCAGCTAATCAACTTTCACGGGTCCAGCATCAGTTCCGTCAGCAACCTTGGGAAGAGGCTTGAACTCTACGTACTTGTCATGCAGTGATGGTGCCACATGCTTCCCTCAAGGGAAAGACATGGAACCCATCACATGACTGACTGTGTGATGGTCAGAAATAGATCTGAAAGAGCCCATGTAATTTATCAAAAATTTATTTACCATGTAAAAACACTGAGTTAATCGTGTGCGTCACGACCCCAAGACACAAGCACGGGAGTCGTGAGCAGGAATTCGAGTGGGTTAAACCTCAGTGGGAGTTGAAAGGAATAGATGACCCAAAAATTGCCATTTATTCACTCTCATGTCTTTCCAAATGTGACTATCTTCACAAAAAAATATAATAAATATGAATGATTATATAATATACCCAAATTTAGGTAAATGCAATTTTTCCAACATGATGTTGAGTATCCAACATTTGAGCATTATGTGATTGCGACTCTCTGTGTTGGGTTTGTGCAGACTATGCGCTGGGGAAGGACTGTATCATGCACGGCTACATGCTAAAGCTAGGAAACCCCTTCCTGACACAGTGGCAGCGGCGGTATTTCTACCTGTTCCCCAACCGTGTGGAGTGGAGAGGCGAAGGAGAGTCTCGGGTAAGTGTTTTTGTGTGTTTTGTTTGCTGTTAGCATTCGTATAAAGGGTTAAAAGACCATTTTTTGAGAGAACATGCCTGTGTGTCCCTACGCTGTAGGAACATTGGACTAAAACATTAAAAAAACATAAATTCAAGGTGAGTCTGGTACATTTTATCTGATTCCCCCTCTGCTTTAAGTTTCATTGTCCATTGCAGAACAGGAATTGTCAAGATTTTGATAAATATTGTAAGGAGAAGGAGAGGAAGGAACGCATCCCTTTAGAAATTAGCATACGCCCTAAGTCTTAATCCATCCTGCTCCGAAATTCCCATAGTGACGCAGGGTCACCTGCAGCCTGAACCACTGAGACACCCACCTCTCCTTATAATATACATTGCTTCTTTCCACCGCTAAACCAAACCTCAGTCTTTTCCAATCCGGAGGAAGCGATTGCATTTGCGCTCAGGTCTTTCTAATGCAGAAGTAGGTCACTGCAAGTTCCCTGGGGCCAGAGTGTTTCTGCCCTGATCTGTAACTAAGATAAAGAAGTGCAGATTTCACCAGTTTCCTGCATTTTTAACTCCCAGAGTTCCTGAATCTTCGATCTGAAGGGTAAATGCTCTTCCTGTGGAACATGTTGAAGAGGAGATGCATGGAAACGGACAGAGAGGGAGGCCACTTGCAAATCAGATTGCAAGCAGTGATGCTTAAACTTCACTACATTGCAGTTGTTCTGTGTTCTCAATTTTGGAGAGCCAGTCTGGCATTAATTCTTTCATTCATTCATTATTTATTTGATTTTACAGTTCTATATGTCTAAGTTGTCGCACAGAAGCTCACTTTAAATCAAGGTCTTTAGAAACCAGTCTGAATGTGGTTCGTGTCATTTAGAGGAAAAATGTTTGTACAGAAGTGAAACGACTTCCATTATCCTTCAGTTTGATGGGAATCAGGTATCCGCGATCAGACTGTTACATGAGATGCTACGTCTGCAGCTCGTTGCACCACCACTGACTCACTGAGTACAAGAACAGCTTGTCATCCGTGTCTTTGCTCCCTCGTAGCCCCAGACAACCTCTAGAATTTCTACCTCAGTGTAAGTGACACCATTAGATGTGTATATCTCAAGCACTGGGTAAAATCCCACCCGTCCAGAGCTAGCAGGTTGCATAGCGTATTCCTCACGAACAAGATAGTCTGTGAGAAGACTCTTACAGGGATGCACTAATTAGTCTTTCCTCCCCCCAGCAAAACCTGCTGACCATGGAGCAGATCGTGACTGTGGAGGAGACGCAGATCAAGGACAAAAAGTGCATCCTGCTGAGGATCAAAGGAGGGAAACAGTTTGTCCTGCAGTGCGAGGTAGGGCACCTTCATGCTGTTCTCACCATCTTGTTGTGGGTTTCTCTCTTCCCCTTTTGCTCTTGTATTATCTTGCTTCACTTTTAGTGTTCCCAATCCTCTTTTTCAAACTCTACTGAATTGTCTTATTAAAAATGAATAAATAACTAAATGTAAAAATAAATCAGAAAGTCAAATTTAACAAAATAAATCACATTTAGATTTTAAATAATGTCACATTAAATGTAATAATGAATAATAATACACATAATAAATATTACATAGTGTATGTTACTATTATTTTGTCAACACTGTGGAAAAAACACTTTGGTTTCAATCACAAAAACAAGGCAGAAAAAGTGAAGCACTGCCTTTATGGGCTGCTTATGATAATATTTAATTAATTGAGATTAAATAATATAATTAATAATAGTAATATTCAATTAATAATAAATGTTACCTAGTGTATGTTACTGTTATTTTACGGCCTTGTTTTTCTCAAAGAAGAAAAGAAAACTTTGGTTTCAATCACAAAAATAAGGCAGTAATAAATAAAAATAATTACCACAATATATACCTTTGGTGATACTGCCCAAACTTTGTTTCTCTATTCCGCTTTTGCTCTTGTTACTTTTTACTTTTTCAGAAAAAGTAAAGCACTGCATCCTTGGCCTCTTATATGATTATATTAAACATTTAATTGACTAGATAATTCAAGAAAAGATGGATTGTGCAGAAAAAGTAATGAGGGCTTCTGTATATGCTGCTATGAACTTCTGTTCTAGGAAACGTTCTTTATCTTTTTGAGCCTGTGTTCTGTGGGAAATATTTTTTCCCATCTGTGCAGGAGCAGCATCAGAAGTGCGTGTCCATGCATTTGCAGACCTTAGTGAACATTGATCCGAAATTAAACCTCATGAGGGCCTGATTTGATGCACTTTTTATGGACAGCTCATGCCATACAGATATCTCTCACATTAAAGAATGTTCACTTTCAGAATAAAAATTTCCTGATAATTTACTAGTCCCCATGTCATCCAAGATGTTCATGTCTTTCTGTCTTCAGTCACAAAGAAAGTAAGGTTTTTGAGGAAAAGATTCCAGGATTTTTCTCCATATAATGGTCTTAAATGGTAGCCAACGGGTTGAAGGTCCAAACTGCAGCTTCAAAGGGCTCTATACGATCCCAGCTGAGGAATAAGTGTCTTATCTAGCGAAACGATTGGTCATTTTCTAAAAAAATAAATAAAAAGTCCGCAAATTCATGCATTATGCAATCACGTTGGAAAGGTCACGTACGGTTAGCATCTGTGTACTCTGGTTCAATAAGGTGGGGTGGGGCGAAAAACTCTCAAATTTGGGGTGGGGAGAAAAATCTAATTTTCTCCAACTTCAAAATTGTCCAACATCGTTTTTACCTTTTTTTGTAAAGGGCATTTGACTTTCTTTGCTTGTTCTCTTTGTAAACTCTGGGTCAGTACTTCCGCCTACGTCATGCATGACCTTTCCAACGTGATTACTTAATGCGTGAAGTCAAGCTATATTTCTTTAGAAAATGACAGATTGTTTCGCTAGATAAGACCCTTATTCCTCGGCTGGGATCGTGTAGAGCGCTATGAAGCTGCACTGAAACTGCAATTTGGATATTCAGCCCGTTGGCCACCATTGAAGTCCATTATACGGAGAAAAATCCTGGAATGTTTTGCTCAAAAGCCTTAATTCTTTGTGACTGAAGAAAGATATGAACATCTTGGATGACGGGGGTGAGGAAATTATCAGGAAAGTTTTATTCTGGATTGAACTAATCCTTTAAATGCACAAGCCTCCCAACTCGATTGATTCCAATCCAGTTTGACATCCAGGCACAAAAGCATACCAAAATACTGGTGCAAAATACATTGCGCAATTTTTGTTCAAATAATTTTTTTAAATACTTGATAAAGTATACTGAATTAAACATAGTTTCATTTAAAATTAACATCTCCCTTTACTGGCTTTCAGAATGCAGTCTGGTATTTCCTTATTCACAAAAGAACATTAAAAATCCTTTGCATCCAGACTGCCTAAAAACGCTGTCTAGGTAGCTCTCTAGGGTTTTATCTATTTAAAAAGTTCTTGATATGTTAAAAAAATCATAAAGCAGCTGAGAATGAATTGCTAATGTAATTTTTTTTTCTCACAGAGCGACCCAGAGTTCGTACAGTGGAAGAAGGAGCTCACCGAAGCATTCACCGAGGCCCAGAAGCTGCTGCGTCGTGCCCCCAAAGTCATTGGCAAGGGGCGAACCAATGTGGTGGAACTGTCCAAACCTCCGCTCACGCACCGCAACAGCAACGGCCTGTGAGCCGCCCCTTCCTGCGACCCTTGTCCACCACTCCTCTCCATCCTCTTCATCGACACACACATGCACACGCTCTCACACTCTCTCTCTCCCAGCAAAACGCTTGTCCAGCAACATTAGGCTTCCCAGCTGGCACAGTGAGCCGCCACATGGTCCGTCTTGGAAGGTTCTGCTGGACTGTGCCCTGCTGTTCCTCAACTGTTCATCAATCAAATGCACACACATACACACAGTTCCTTGCAACTTGACACGCTGGGGTGGGCGTCACTCCAGGATAATGTTAAAGAACAATCAGTGATGCCAGTGCTGAATCTGGGACCCTGTTTTGACCAGTGGTGCAGGCTGGGATACTGCACCTTTTTTGTGAGCATGTCGTTGCTTCTGTGATTCCCACATTCTCCTTGCACACACCGGCATGCTCGTATTTAGGCAAAAAAAGGCCTCTGCTATAAGGGTCCCAAACAATGTCCACTTGGAGCTTCTTTACAAGTGAAAGTGTTCTAGCACACTTTCACTTGTAAAGTGTGCTAGAACCGGACAGTATCCGTACCTCTGCTAGAGGGAAACCAGAGCCATGCGGCCTTAGAGATCTAATCAGATGGAAACAATCTCAAAAGACGATGGCTTGAACAATATCACTCCCGTTGTCTTTCATGTCCTTTGTGGGAACACCAAGGCCACTTCACTGATTGTGCCATTCTTGATGTGTATGCTTTGCACCACTTTCTGTCAACATCGGGGGTGCATGGCATGCATGCCATTTCATGCTAAATGGACTCAGATTTGTGGACTGTTGTGGCACCCAACCCTTGTCCTGTACTTGAGAAGTACAAAAGTCTTCGACACTTCCTTGATACTCGCTGACGGATTGAATGAACTGCAACGGCGAGTGTTGCGTGCATCCAAGTTCCAAGAGCTCTCAGAGGACGTACAGTGAAATACGGAAGTGTTTTTCATTTCTTTCTTTTTTTGCTTAGCCCTTGTAAACCAAATTTGGTTGGGTTCTTCATAATGCATTAAATGTGTGTACTAGTGCGTGTACACGATGCAAAAAGTAGGTGTTGTTGCTTTAAAGGAAATGCCCCAATATTGTCACCAGGAAGATTTGTTTTCTTTCGCCTTGAATGTATTTTTGTTTCTCTTTTTGTCTATTGTTTTTTTGTTGTTGTTAATTTGTTCGTGGGTGGATTGTTTTACGCTGCTTAACACAATGGGAAGGAACGTGGCAGGACCTTTCCTAAGACACGAACCCAACCTCTCCCCCTGAACCCACAGAAGTGCAAAAAGTGCCAATGAAATAAACGTTCGACTTGAGACACCTGAGAATTCCTTGAGTCCAGGCCGCGTCACCTGCATCTCCCTGTGAACAGACCCCGAGAACAGTGTTGGAAACTGAACGCACAGAATAAAAACTGAACTGCAGACTTCCAGTCGTGTACAAGGATGCCAATGGACAGTTGATGATGCATGGTTAGAGGGACCACTTGGGATAAAAAAACAGCAGCAGCATCCCTGGAGTCTTTTATCAGGCTGTATATATGAATCCTTTCTCTGTGCATCTACAGTATAATCTTATTGACAATGTTTGCATATATGGCGTATCTCTGTCTCTGCCTGTCTGTGTTTGTCCCTATGTCTCAGCTTGGGGGCGGGTGGGGTGGGCAGGGTTCACATCTGTCAATCAATCGGCAGCCGTGTGCAAACCTCAGGCTGAGAAAACTGTGCGTACGCCTCTTTTAGGACCATCGGTGTGAAAGAGCGAAGAGTTGGATGGCTTATCTCATAATGAGGTGCGAGGAGGTCTTTTGTCTGTCTCTTGTCTGTTTCGTTATGCCGGCGCTTCTGAAGGTGAGACGCGCAACGCAGCTTCGCCATTATCCATTCACGGGCATACAGACTGTTATTCAGTTCGAAGGTAGGACGCTCGCACTCACAGGTGTTTGGAAAGGTGGGCTGCTTGGATCGCGGAAGGAGAGACAACTTAAAACCATTTGTTGTAAGGCTTGATTTGAATATAGTTTAAATTTTTATATTGTTTTGAATGTGATGCAAATGCAGATTTCTATAGATGACACATCTTTTTGGAGTATGTTATGTGCATTTATTTTGGTCTTTTTTTTATGGAAAAACAAGCACAGCTTAACAGGCATGAGGTGATTTTAAAGAAGTGTTTTCATGTATATTCAGGTTCTATTTTTTTTCCATGCAGTAATTTTCTTTTTCTATGACTCCCGTCTGTGCATTCCGAGTGATTTGCATGCGGTGCTCTGCAGAAATCGCAGGGTTTTGGGAGTCGGATCAGTTTTTGTAGTCTTTAAGTGTCGGGGAGGTGCCATCCTGAGGATGTTTTAGTGCCCTTCAAGAGTTTTATTTTGAAACCAAAATGGCTTGTTTTGAAATATATATCACTGCACTTTTTCCACCACGCTTCACAAGCTGACGAAATAAAATGTGCCAAACGACTGTAGGAGAATGTCCTTGAACCAATAAAAAGCTCACGCAATGCTCGCCGGCTATTTTCGAGACAAAAAATTGGTACGTTTTAATGGGCGAGCAGCAGTGAGTTTGAGAAAGAGTACAAAAATGTGATGAAATTCATGTGACGTGGAACAAGTGGGCCGTGGGGCAACGATCCTACGTCAATTGACGATACGCCTCAAAGCTACTGACCGGCGACGACCGGTACCTTGTTTTGAAACTGCTAGCCCGTTTCTCAAAAAGGGTGGCACCTCCGCCAGTCCTAAATATCCATGTTTTATTCAGGGGTTTTTTTGTTTTATTTTAACGGTAGCTTTTCAGTCACTTCGTCAGTGTTTGCTTCATTCAATTGCTTGTGTGTCTGTTCTGTAGCGGTGAATTTTGTGTGTGGGTGAACGCAGGTTTCAAAATGGAAGAGGACGATAAATAGGAAAAAAAAAAAAGAAAAACAAACTAACAAAAATCTAAGTATATATGTGTATAAGAAATAAAAACAAATGAGCTTAGGTTTATTTAAAAGACTTTACGATGTAGACAAAAAATTGACTCGGGAAGGGATCGGGTTCGATGTGAGTTCAACTATTTGTGGTGAAGAATCAGCTCAGATCTTGCACATAAGAAGTTTAGATATTGTACCTACGAGTTACAGATTATTATTTTTGTTCGTTTAATACAGAACTCTTTTGCTCTCTTTCATATTTATTGTCTGGTCGGGGAGCTAGTCCCTCTGTGCGTTGGTTTACCTAGGGCACAGAGCTGTGGAGTATCTGGGTTTACAGTCAACCGAAACTCTCTTTTTCATGTGCCACAAACAAGCGCAAACGCAAATACTACTGTCTGGGGTTATTACCATTAAGGTTATGATGATGATGATGATGATGATTATAATAATTATTAATAATATTATTCAATGAATGATAATTGTTATTAAAATTATTTTTTTGTTTTCATTTTTCAGAACAGCTAGGAACATGTGTGTTGGACTGCTTATAAAAACAGTTCAGAAATAAAAGCCCCTTTTTCGTGTTGCCATGTCTGCTGTCTCCATGCTTTAAAGCTGCTTCATTTCAGGATTTATCCTGTTTATATCAGAACAAGGACACTCGTTCGATTTAAACTAACTCTTTAGTGTGAGATTTATAAACTTAAACCGCCATTAGCCAACTTTCAGGGCATGTTAAAGCCATTTGGAGGGACTGCGGCCAAGTCTCCTCACTGGAGCTCAGTGTGATTGAGCAGTGCATTAGTGTTCTGGAGTAAACAGTCCTCTGTTGGACATCCTTCTCTATCCTGCAGCAATAATCAAAGCTCAAACGAATCTAAGAGTTCTTGAGGTTTATTATCCTCGCCGTATTATAAATATGTCCTTGTTTACCTCTCTCCTTGTGCCTAGATGTGAAAAGGCTAAATGGTGATTTTAACAGCACTGATTGAAACAAGCATTTGGACACTAGTCACAATGTCTAAATGTCATTAGATAAGAAAATCAAACCAAGTGGCATCTGTGCTGCTAGACCTGTTCAGTGAGTTTTCCTTAAAAGGTTTCTTTAAAGTAAATGCTCTTATGCAATTACATTAATGCATTTTTAAAGTCAACTTGAGTTAAAAACTAACCCTTTTTGTTTAATTTTCTTCATGTATTTGTAATCTTTTGTCAGTGATTCAAATTAAAATGGCATCATAATCTTTCATCAAAACGTAAAAAACTTGATCTGGTCACTTAATTTATCTGGTCTCCTGCTTTTTTAGGATCCAGTCAATTCCCGATAAATCAGTGGGTCTCGACCAGTGAGCAAGGACTCTGAATTAAGTCAAGACAAGCATTAATGTAAGAAAGAAAGAAAAAAATGGATAAACTTGAATGTATGAGGTAGCCTGATTTAAACGTGTGATTTCTAAACCTGAAAAGGTCAGCAAATTTAAAAAAAAGTGATAAAAATGTTTACTGTATTTTATAATCCACTAAAATCACAAACCAAGTGTAAAAACCCATGAAAAATTACGAGGCCTTCAAATGTTGTGAACGATGGGGGGCATTGGAGAAAAATATTGAAAACCACTGCGACAGATCAAATCAAGTCTATTTAAAATATTTTTTTAATTGTGGAATTAAAATTGTTTTTGACTGCAGTTTTTTTTTTAATGTAGACTTTAAATGTCAAATGTATCTTGGAGGCTAATGTATGTAAAATGTATTTTATTTTTATTATTTTTTTGCAATAATACAGGGATTATTAGTTCAAAAAATGAAAACTAGTGCCATAACACAATAGCTATATTTACATGCATCAAAATAATCGGATTATAATCAGATTGATGGACTAAAAGCCTTCATATATAAACCCATCAGATTAAAAGGGGTGGTGTAGACCTGAAATAGTCCAATCAATAGGAAAAAATTAACCATGTAAATGCTTGAATCAGTGTACAATATTGTTATACTTAAAATAGAACAATTTTATTGTCCCTTTTTGGGAAATTTGTCTTCAAATTTGGTCTTCAAATAACACAGCCAGCAATCAACATTAAACACCCATAACACACATCACCTGGTTTAACAATACTGTAATAATAAAATGATGCAACAATGCAAATATATTACAACCTACAACATGAAGCCTTAAAAATCCTCATTTTGGAATTCTCTTTTTAATAATTTAACCGACTTTGGCACTAAAGAGTTTTTGTAGCAATTTGATTTACACCCTCTAATTCTATCACCGCGTGTTGTTAGGACACGGTGATCGAAAAAAGCTTTAATATATTAATGAATTAGATTCTAAACGTATCCATTTCGTTGCAAGAGCAGTGCGCTTCCACAGAGAGATTGATTGATTCTGTCGCGTCGCGTCTAGTGTGGACACCCAAATTGCTTGTTGCTGGAATCTTGTCGTTAGAACACTGTAAAGCGTCTCCTCGAAGGTGTAACAAGTTCAAATTCTCATGAAACGTGTTTATTGTCAGTTACAGTTGTCTTGGCTTGTTTTAATGTAGAAGCCTCATACAACTTAATGTCTACATCCATTTACATCATAACATTGTGTGTGTGTTTATTTCCATCTCACGTGTGAACTCTCAGTGGATGAGACTGAATATTGGCTAAATATCTGCTAAAAAAAAAAGCTCTCTTGATGTTTGTCATCAACAGTAATTACACATGCGGTAGCTCCAGTGACATTATCCACAGCGACTGGGAACTAGCATGCGCAGAAGGGTTTGGAATGCATGTAATGCACATGTAAAAGAATATGTGACTCATATCGCAGTGTTCATATAACTGTTCGTTTCAGATTTGCATCCATTCCAATTGATGAAAATACCTAATGTTTTTAGCCACCTAAACTCTTTTAGCTGACGAAACGAGACAAAGAAAGACCTTTCATGTGAAATTGATTTAACAGATAGTAATCAAGTCTGCTAAAGATTGAATTTATAAACTGTAGATCATGTTTCTCCATGGTGGCATTCAAAACCCGTAATATCCATTGGCTTCCAGCGATTCCTCCTAGAGATCATGACTGTGATGATACGCTTCTGTCCTCTCTCTAATTCTCTCTGACACCTCCTCCCGCAGCGCACCTCCCACCCCATGCGTCTCACAGCTGAGTCTGTCCGTCAAACCGCACCGGCAGCCATTAGCAAGCCTGTGGACGCTTGACTTGTGTGCTTTTTCTAGCTGTTTCCAGCACTGCTTTCCCCGGTTTACTTCAAGACGGATTTCCAGGTGTCCTGTTTTATCCTAAACATCCAAATGGAGTCATTCTGAAGTCCATGTGAAACTCTTAAGCAACATTGCTGCCAAAGTAATCCACCGTGTTTTGAAATCATCCACATCAGTGACGCATCCAGTCGGATCCCCAATGTGTTAGTCGAAATTATGTCCAGTCCCCCTCCCCCCCCTCCCCTACAATTTACAGCACTCAAGTGTTTCCCAAACAGGGTAGTATGTCCCACCTCTTCTACCATGGGATATTTATAGCCGAGTCTTGTGTTAACTCAGCTGCCATGCTTATCTGTGTGTGTGTGTGTGTGTGTCCTGCCACTCTATTTCAGATGGTAGCTTCACCCTTTCAGTGACAGTGAGACTGTGTACCTTGTTTTTGGCCTCTTAATTTTTCCGGAGTTTCACGCATACATCACTCTCATTGGATATATTCTTCCACTCCATCGAGGAACCATCACAAGGTATGCCTGTTGGGTTTTCTTATTGACACCTTAATCTGTTCTTTTGTAGATACTGTGATTTATTTATAGATCCCAGACGCTCACAGACACCCACGTCCTAAAAGGCCGGTCTAGTCTTCTGGCGTTCTCTTAATGAAATTAGGGACATTAGGCTGTTCGTCTAGGCCCAGAAGTTGGTTGGTTTGTTCTGGTTGGGAAATTAAAGGCCTTCTGTTTGGATCGCCGGGATATTCCACGTCTAAACGCGGCGCTGACTCCAGCTGAAATCTGAGCTCTGTCTCCCAGGATCATTTTCAGCCTCTGACTAATTTGTTTTGTTGTTTGCTGTGTAATGTCGAAGCGGATGGTAAGATGTTGAGGTTTGGCAGGATTTGAAATGGGAATGCAATGTCATGATCCTGTGACCTAACCTTCACACGAGTAAATGTTTGTGTGCATTAAGATGAAGTGGTTTGCAGGAAACAATTGAGCAACTGTGTATCTTACAGAGGAAGCTGTCATTTGCAAAGAAGATACAAGAAAGTTTGATATATATGTTATGATGTTTAATGATTACCAAATTTAAATGGTATTGACAAGGTACTCCAAAGTTACATTGTTATATTGCTGTATTACCTGCCCAAAATCATGGTATTTCCATGGTACCAAGGTCAGAAATAAATTTTGGGTTAAAAAGCCCAATTATCTGGTATATGTTATATTATAAATAATATATTGATTATATATTTCATTAAAAAAACATGAGATATCAATTTAGATTGAGAATTTGTCAGTGAACATCTGAGATATCTAACATTAAAAGATGGCAGAGTATTTTAGGTTAGAAAAAAAAATAAAATCTAATTTCATGGGGACAAATATTTCATCATCATAAAAGTTATGTTTTGAAGATAATACCATGGTATCGTTTACAACATATGTTATATATTGCAAGCTGCTAATGTTGATTTTATTTTATATTTATTTCTTGGCAGTATATTTTATATGGTTTGCAAAAAAATAATATCCCTAAAATATATTTTATATCCCAAACCCTAATTGCACAGGAACAAATATTTCACTGTAATACAACTTAATTTCAGACAGCATGGCACATTTCCAAGGGGGGAAAAAAAGAATAAGTAAAAAAAAAAAATACCATGCCTAACAGAGAGATGTTAGGCATGGTTATATAGCACTTGTAAAAATAGGTGCTATATAGCACTAAAAGCGGTTCTTTGGCTTGTAATCATAGGGGAACCACTTTTAGTGCTATTTAGCACCTATTTTTACAGGTGCTATATAGCACCTTTGTCAAATGGTGCCATGTAGAACCATAAGAGGTGCCATATAGCACTTTTTCTCAACAATGGTGCACCAATCATAACTCATCCATGGCTCCCAGCATGCATTGCGACATGAATAAATTATGCAGCTGCATTGTCTTAGTATTATCTTTTATTCTTACTATTTGCTTTTATTTTTGTTGTGACTGTTTACTGCCCTGTTTTGTGATTGTTCAAAAATCATATCAAAATTATCAGATTATTTTGTCACCATTGCTGAGGTTCACATGCTGATTCTTCATGTCTATGAGTGACAGAATTGAAACCTCTTTATAACCCATAATTCTGAAAGTGGTTTATACAATTTTCTCATATTGCCACGTAGTATCGAAGAACTGCAATAATATAAAACTCAAAGAACTACAGATTTTGATCAAATGCAACCAGAGACTCAGACGCATGAAATGATATTACCATAAGTTCCTTGCCATCACATATGTGCTTTATAAACACTATTGTAACAGCCAAAGAGAAACTTATTTTAACTTAAAATTAAACCCAAGGGTCAAGAGGCAACT